ACTTGCACTGAGTCAAGATTTGTGTGCTGTCCCTTGCCCCTTAAAAGTTTGAGTCTGGGGCTGAAGAACTTTCTCCAGTTTGCATCTGACCACTATCCTCATTGCTACAAACGCCTTGGAATCTCTTTTCTGGAACGAACCAGTCATTGTCTCAGGACCTAGGACACCGAAGGCCCAGAGAGGGCAAGACAGCTTGTGCTCATGGGGAAACTAGGGAGGGGATGGACTCACCCATGTTAAACAGACTGGGTTATGCTGTACCAGCAATTAGCAAACAAGGGTGGATTTAAAAGCTTGCTGATGGTGGACCACAGACTCTGAGCACTCCAAACTCATGGGGCCAGTGGAGCCTTGAGAGTTCTTCCTCTGGAACAGTTAGGGGATGAGAATAAAGACCTTCAACATCAGGACCGCCACTGTCACCTTGAGAGTCATGGAAGACAATTATCAGCCCAGGGGTTGGCATTGGGAACTTGCATTGGGGACAGTAGCCCTGAGCCCCTCTAACTAAGGGTGGCTAGGCTCTAACTGGCCTGGAGATTTATATGCCATTCTCTTTCCCAACCCTCCACATCAGGTCTAAGTATATGGAGGCATTTAGAATGGAAATGTAGGGCCTAATGTTATCTTAGATGGCAATCAAATTCTTGGAGAAGAACTTGGCATGGGACCTTCCTCAATAAGAAGCTTGTGCACTAGCTGTGGTCCCAAATGTATAGCCCCTTTATTGCTTTCTTGATTGTGCTCATTCTGGCTTCTAGAGCCATAATCTTGAACCCAGTTAACCAAACATGGTAGGCCTCTCTACATCCACAGACTCCAGAGGATTTGAAGTGATCCTGTGACTTCCCTGGCCCTAGAAATCAGCCCACTTCAGGAGCAATGTGCTCCTTTGTTGTGTGGCTACAGTCCCAAGGTGGAACTTGTAGTTTGAAGACTATAGTGTAGATTAGATGTCCACGCCCACATTGGCCCCTTGAATGGGCAAGCTTTGGGTAGTGGATACAACCTGCTCCACTCTGTGCTCTATTCCTAGCCACCTGACCCCAGAGCTATTTGTAAGCAGGTGGGGGAATGTTGCACTGGGGGTTTCCATCTGGCCTGGGGCTAGGTTGGCTGGGCAGGGGGCCAGGGAAAATAGGGCCTTCCTCAATAAATTGCAGCCACAATGTGTACCATATAGGAATGCTCGGGTCCTTGCACAATTCCTAACTCTTTGCTTCTTGCCCTACTTTCTGTGACAAAAGCAGCGACAGACACTAACATTACCGACCAAACCCAAGCCAGTCTGGGGCTCTTTAGGAACCGTTAAGCCATATCTTTGCAGTCATTCGTTGGGTTCAGCCCAGATCCCATCCTGGATGCCCCGCCATGGGACTGAGCTTTATTCTGGGTTCTCTGGAGCCGACTTGCAAGTTATTTGCATCAAGGTCATGGAAGTTCTGAAGAGCTTGGTTCCTAGAGGCAGCAGGGCCCACTGGGCCCAGACCTGGTCAGGCCACTTGTATTGAGCAGATTGCATGACCTCAGAATGGGAGGAAGTTGAGTGATGAAGTACTGTGCTGGCTGTCCATACGCCGTGTCCCTGCCAGGGACTCTCCCCTTTATATGTGAGCTGCAAGGGAAAATGGTAGTCTGCCTAGTCCGCAGGCAGCTGGGCATGGTTACTGGGTCTCTGAGGAGGCTTCCTAGTTGCCTACCATCTGCCTGAGTGACTGGAGACCTTGAAATGGAATCCTTGCATTTTTAAAATCCACAAGGAAGGGAAACTCCATACAGGAAACATAAGCCCAAGTAACCACGTTTGGAAGCAGGGTGTTTAATTGCCAGCCCTTTCTTGAAGTCCAGCTGCTGGTAACATTATCTGGCAGCTTCTGAAGCCAGAGGAGGGTTTATCTGTGCGGGTAAACAGAGCTGGCTTTCTCCAGTGACCTCTGACCTCTCCCCCTGCGACACCTGCTCTTTCTCCAGTTTATCTGTAAAGCAGGACCAGCCCTGAGGGTCTTTAAGAAGCTCTGGCCTTGGAATGAGGTATGCTTGGGTGAGGCTGGAATGCTACATCTCCATTGCTCATCTGGAGTGATAATCTAGGCTGTCTGAGGCTGGGAAGCAGACAACAAGCATCTTGTCAAGAGAAGATGGGCCTGGAGTCTGTCTTCAGATCTCTGGTCTTATCTATAGGAGGATGCTGACTGGTTCCAAGGCTGGGCACTTCTGGCATGTCCCAGCAGTTTGGAAAAACCTTGGGGGTGGGAGTGTAAGATTGCTGTGGGTGAGATCCAGCTTCGGCTGGCTCCAGAATTCTCTCCTCACCTGGCAATCTGTATTTGACAAGCCACTGCCTTGAGCCACTGATTTCCTCTGCCAGAAAGGCGGCCTTTTAACGTGCAATTCCATGCATCAAGGACCAGGCCTGCATGCATCTCCCAACTGCCAGGGCTGTCTGCATCATTTTACAAGGACCAGGCCTCAGTGCATCCTTCCAGCAGCCAGGCCTGTGATTAATTCTCCCTGGGAGGTGAAAGGGAAGCCACTAATTACCACACAGGAAGGAGCATGGGTGTTAAGCCCCTGTTAAGTCCTTCCTCGGCTTCACAGGCCCAGGAGAATGGTGGACTTTAATGACCTACAGGCAGGCTCACCCTGTGCTCTGCTCTGGTGGGCGTGGCCATATCTGTTTCCCCGACTAGGGACCTCAGCAAGGAGATACTGGTGAAAGAGAGGAGGGAGCTGTACTGGGGTTATGGCCCTGGTGAAAACCTAGCCCCTCTTTCACAGTAGCCGGGAGCCGCTATCTGTGTCCCAGGGTTGCCCGGCTTTTGCTGCATCGTGAACCCTGGTTTCTCAAAATCATTTTATTGCTACTTTCTAACGGTAATTTTGCTACTGTTATGAACTGTAAGGTAAATATCTGGTATGCAATCCCAAAGGCGCTGTGACCCACAGATTGAGAACCACTGCTTTAGGCCCTTCGATGTACAAAGGTATCCAGACTTTTCCAGCTTTAAAAGATGTCTAGTTCTTACCAAGTTGTTTCAAATACCTACAGAACTAAACTTACATGTAGAGGAATAGGCCTGTGACTGCCGTTCTCCCCGAGATTTAACTTTAGTTACCATTGTGATGATGGGAGGAGGAAGGACCTTTAGACAGGGCACAGCCGTCCAGAATGGATTAATGCCCTCGTCATGGATCTGGGTTCTTGGTAAAAAAGGATGAGGTTAGACTCACCCTCCCTCCTGTGCCTAGGGTGACTGTCCACAGCTGCCGGCACCATGCTGTCGGGCTTCGCAGCCTCAGGAACCAAATCAATGTCTAGTGATTATAGTTTACACTGCCCCATGCTACAGGAGAGAATAAATGCCCAGTGTGCTGAGGAGATGGAGAAAGGACTCAGGTCTGTGTCACATCTTGTATTAGCTGCGTGGCTCCACTTCTACTTAGCGTCTCTGAGCCTCGCCTTCTTCCTGCACCGTATGGGATAATCATTGAGAAATCAAATGGGATGAGACATGTAGATTCTTTATACCATATCGGCATATAGTTACTTACCTAAATACGAGCTGTCCTTTGGTCATCTAAAGATTTTGTGATTTATTGTATGAGATCAACGTTCACGTAAGGTATGAAACAAAGCACAAACACATATACCCATCTGCCTGTATTATTATAAATATCTGCCATATATTTTTCTATGTCCATTGTTTTCTCGGACAGGGTCTCATGTAGCTCAGGCTGACCTTGAACTCCTTATATAATTGAAGGTGACCTTGAATTCTTGATTCTCCTGCCTCTACCTCCCAAATACTGGAGTTACCAGTGCCCACCTCTGTGCCTGGCTTAAAAAATGTTATTTTCACTGCTGAGATTGGAGCCCAAGGCCTCAAATATACTGGGCAGATGTGTTACCACTGTACCCAGTTTGTTTTTACTACCCTAAGCCAGTGATTTATTTTGAGCTCATTTGGGCAGGGCTGGCCTTTTAGTTAATGTTTTTCCTTATTAGGACTTCTACTCATCAATAGTCCATCTCTGGGTGGTGACATCCCTGCTAACTCCTGGCTTTATGGCTTTTCCTCACCTGTCATTCAGAACACTGTCTACACGACGAATCTAACTGTCAGAGTTACTTTTCTGTTTCTGTGGTAAGACACCATGACTGAGGCATTTAATTGGGCATACGATTTCAGAGAGTCAGAGTCTATGATGGTAGCCAGAGCTGCTGCTGGGAGATCACACCTTCATCCCTAACCACCAGGCGGGAAGTGAGACACACACACTGGGGATGGTGTGAGCCATCTGAAACCTCAAAGTTCTGGCTCCACATCGTCTGTGAAGTTGCTTCTCGTGAAGCCAGACACGCTGGCTTTCTTGGTGTGTATGTTCTTTCTCTGTGAAGGGCAGTGTGAGCCTCGTTGTCGGGAGGCTGAGTTGAGCCACAAATCTCTGAAACACTTACAGTGCTGGGCTACAGCAGAGTGACCTGGTTTTGCCCGTGGTGTCAATATCGGAGTCTTCCAAGTCCGGGGCTGCCCGTGTGGAATGGCAAAGTATGAGGCTCATGGACTTGCAGTTTGGGAAGAGCCCTCATAAACTCTCATTCACGCTGAAGTTTGAGGACAAGTGGAAATCAGCTCTTTAAAAAAATGTAATGACCTCAATTTTATGTTTATTATCTACAACACATGTTAGCAAAAATGATGTTTAAGACATTTGCTTTAACCCTATACAAAGGGAATCTTCGTTATCATTTTAGTGAATGCTTCTTTGGGTCTATGGAGTGAGTGTGTGTGTGTGTGTGTGTGTGTGTGTGTGTGTGTATTGACAAACGCTGCAGCTAGCATCCACATGGTACCTGACAGTGAGTCAGGCCCTGGTGACAGATGAGAGAAAGGGCAGTCTTGGCTGTGGTTCCCCTACAGCAACATTAAACAATGCCCGACCTACCTTAGAGCCAGTCTGGCTCACCTGCTCATGTGTTCGTCTCTCTCCTCCCGCAGGTATATATTATCAACGTGACCTGGTCCGACTCCACCTCCCAGACTATCTACCGGAGGTACAGCAAGTTCTTTGACCTGCAGGTGAGTGGGCCAGAGCCAGATGGTGGCCTGAGCCTCTGGTGGGCTCCTGTCTTTTGTGTCCACATTCCCCCAGAGAGCCCTGAAAAGACCTAAGGGCCAGGAGCCAACCCGGCACGGAGGGTAGATGAGGGAACCCTACGGCAGCCAGGCTTGTGGCTGTGTTGACGGCTGCAGTGCAGACACTCCAGGCTTTGTTGCTTTCCACAATGGTCCTTCACAGTTGTGCTTTGTCTTTCTCCCTTGGCCCTGGGGTGGAAACCATGGGGAGGTCAAAAGGCAGTTATGGGTCCTCTGTGCCTGGACAGACTTCTCTGTAAGCATCCATGATGAGACACAAGCCACAGATCATAAGACCTGAACAACATAAGCAATTTATAGAACTGCATGCTGGGTCTGCCTGTCTACCCAAACAAGGTGCTTGGCATCTAGTTTGTACATGTAGATGGTAAGTGTGTGTCTCTAAGTCATGTGGGCGTGTTCCTTCAGGAAGACAGTAGTAGTACAGAGCCACATATTACAATTAAACACAGCCCTTTGATGCTGGCTGATTCATTTTAGGGTCTTATGGTGACAAGTGACTGTTTTATGCTCACACTGGCTTAGACAAGAATATACGGAAGCTCATGGAATTGACCAGATGGTGAGAAGACACGTGGTTTCCACAAAGCCTAAACTAGGCTCAGTCCTAGTCTCTGCTTCTCTCCAGTACTGTCCTTGGCTCCTGTACTCATACACCGAAGAACTTAGCTGTCAGTACCTCTTGAATTTCATATCATACCAACACCATAGACACTGACTGGCTCCCTGTTCCAAGGATACCTTCTCTGGGCCAATCGGAATACCCAGAGGTAGAGGGTCTGAGCCCTAGCAGGGTGGGAGTATCACCCTTGTGTATCATTGTGAATGGGTTAGGGTTAGGGTTAGGGTTAGGGTTAGGGTTAGGGTTAGGGTTAGGGTTAGGGTTAGGGGTTAGGGTTAGGGTTAGGGTTAGGGGTTAGGGTTAGGGTTAGGGTTAGGGTTAGGGTTAGGGGTTAGGGTTAGGAAGGGAAAGTGAGATACTCTTCCTTAGGATTTGAGTGTGGCTTAGATCCACAAAAACACAAAGAGATGTTCGTTCTTAGCCCTTGGCAATCAGCGGCCAGTCCTTCCCTTTAGCCCCTTAGTGGTGGAGAGGCAGATTCAGGCCTGTGTGTTTGTGCGTTATTACCTGTGTTTATATCACGATCCTTATCACTCCATTTATAGGATAAGACTTAAAAACAAACAAACAAACAAACAAACAAACAAACAGTTTCCCAGATTATAGGTCCTTCGGGTTTGACAGTAGGGATTGAATGTCATTACACGTGGGAGCACATGGGAGTGGGAGGGAGCACGTGGGGGTGGGAGGGAGCACGTGGGGTGGGAGGGAGCACCTGGGAGTGGGAGGGAGCACCTGGGAGTGGGAGGGAGCACCTGGGAGTGTGTGGGAGCACCTGGGAGTCGGAGGGAGCACATGGGGTGGGAGGGAGCACCTGGGAGTGGGAGGGAGCACGTGGGGGTGGGAGGGAGCACGTGGGGGTGGGAGGGAGCACGTGGGGGTGGGAGGGAGCACCTGGGAGTGGGAATACTTATGACTCCTGCCGCCTGCCTCGTCTCCTCTCAATCCTGCTCAGTCTCCTTTGGTCTCCCCAGGATAAACTGGTGGGATTCGCCCACACCCCATCAATGGGTACAGTGTGTGGGGACAGGAAATGATAATGCAATTGGGCAGAGTGTGGACCCTGAAAGGGCTCATTGATGAGTTGGAAGGAGCCTAGAAGCCTGGAGAAACTTCTAAATCAGAATTTCTATTCTGGTCCCACCCCCTCCCAAGTTATAGAATCTCACAAGAAAGGAATGCTGCCCCCCACCTCCTCCCTCCCCCACACCCACCCGTCTGAGGGCTCACTTCCTCCTATCACTGTGAGAAGGGACACAAGCATGGAGCAGCTGTGTGACGTGTGGTCCCGGTCCTGGAATGACTATGCGTGTGGCCAGGCTTGTCTGTGTGGGTCATCCTCCAGCCCTGTGTGTAGCAGCTCCACATCCCTATGTTCAGTTAGTTTCAGATCAGACGTATTTATTTATTGTTTGTGGCTGGGCATGTGCATGCCACATGTAGAGGGCAGAGGGTAACTTGAGGGAGCTAGTTTTCTCTGTCCACTATGTGGGTCTCAGGGATTGAACTCAGGTCCTCAGGCTTGGCAGCAAGCACATTTACCTGGCCCCAAAGATAATTTTAAGCCAGGCATGGCAGCACATATCTATAATGCCAGCTCTTGGGAGGTGGATAAGGAATTCAAGGTCATTCTCAGCTACACAGAGGGCAGCCTGGGCTACTTGAGACCCTGTCCTTTTTTTTTTAATGTTAATTTTTCACTTCCATCCTGAACATGTGCAGATTCTTCTTTGTCGTTGTCCCTAAACAATGCATTAGCAGTTACTTGCATAGGCTGAGTTCCACGGGCATTCCGTTTCATCTTTGTGGCATTCATCTGTTTTCTCATGGTCATGACTTTTTTATTTTGGGGGGCTGCTGGTCTGACAAGATGACTTCGCAGGTAAAAGTGACCTCTACCATCCTTGATGGCTTGATTCTGTCCTCAGCAACTGTCAACTGAGCATGTGCATTGGAACAGCTGTCCCCAAACCCCGGAAAACCAGGTTAGACTCCATAGCGGGAGTCGAGATCATTGACGTTGAGGTGGAAACGGGAAAGGCAAGGGCTTTTTCTTCTGAGAGGGACCCACAGGGAGCGGGTCAGGGTGTGGTCTCATGGCCATAAGTGTGTGGTTAGTTTTAAAGGGTCTGCTTGGGGATGCAGCCAAGTTAAGCAGGAGGCAGGCAAGGGGCCACAAATGCCCTTTTAAAGTTACCTTTTCATTTGACACGTCTCCCCTGTGACCTAGCTCCACCGAAGAAGGACAGGAAGGCTCCCAGGCCCTGGCTCCATTGGGGTTTTTTTTCACAACCTGGCCTGCCAGGCACTGGGCTGCTGTAATTTCCCTGCAAACATTGGCTCACGCGCTGTTGGCCCCTGAGAGCGACCCCTGGCAGTGAGTGCAACTGGGTCAATATTTGGTCAGAGCCAGAAAGAGCCCTTGAGCTTCCCCTGAACCTCTTGGAAGGTAGTCAAGAGAGCTGCTTGGGTTCCAAGGGCTAAAACTGTTTGCTCCAAGGGCTAAAACTGTTTCAAAGAGCTTTTATCTCTCTTCCTTACTCATCCGTCTTGCACTTTCCACCTGCACACCCAGCACAGGGTTGCGCTCAGTTTCCAGCTCTCAAATAGCCTGGTTAATGATGGATGAACAAAGCTTTAATCCCAGATCATTAATATTTAGCTCTGGAATGATGTGCTGGGCTGTTATGATATTATTTATGCATATTCATGGCTCACTGCATTTTTAGAATTAGAGTTCTGTGTGTGCATGCACATGCGTATACATGCTCAGTTCTGTGTGTGCGCACATGCGTATACATGCTCAGTTCTGTGTGTGCGCACATGGGTATACATGCTCAGTTCTGTGTGTGTGCGCACATGCGTATACATGCTTAGTTCTGTGTGTGCGCACATGTGTATACATGCTCATGTGGTATATGCAGGTACATGCATCTGTGTTCAAGTATGCATAGACTAGAGGAAGACATTGGGTGTAAGATGTCCCATCCTATCACTTTCCACTTTATTGCTCTGAGATGGGTTTTTCATTGAGCCTAAGCTGGCTTGATAGCCCATCTCTGCTCCCCCACGGCATCCCCAGCTCTTGGGTTGCAGATGTATGCAGCCATGCTCAGCTTTTCCCATGAATTCTTGAATCCAAACTCAGGTCCTCATGCTTGTTCAGCAAGCACTGTTGTCCACGGAGCTATTTCTGCACTGTAGTCTCTAAAATTACAGTTCTTTTATTCTAAGGCCTTTGCTTTGTAGGAAAAAAAAGTTAATTTTTCTACTCATGGGAATTTTTTCATATCTTTATGTCTGTGTGTGTATGTGCATATGAACACACGTGTGTGGGGGGCCAGAGGTTGACACTGAGTGTCTTCCTCATTCCCTCTTCACCTTATTTATTTTGAGACAGGATCTCTAACTGGATTTGATCTTGATGATTCTGCTGGATTGGTTGTTCAGTGAGCCCTAGGAAATTACTGAGCCTAGCTGAGAGGCAGCAAGGTAAAATCTGGGGAAGTGGCTGCTGAGGTGTTTGTGTGTGTGATATGTGTGATGTGTATGGTGTGTGTGATACGTGTGGTGTGTGTATACATGTGTGTGGTATGTGATATGTAGCGTGTGATATGTGTGGTGTGTGTATATGTCTGTATTTTGTGTGTGTGTATATATGTGGTATGTATGGTTTGTGTGATATGTGTGGTGTGTGTATACGTGTGTGTGGTGTGTGATATGTGTGATGTGTGTGTATGTCTGGTGTGTATATGGTGTGTGTGTAATTGTGTGTGCATGTGTGGTATGTATGGTTTGTGTGATACATGTGGATGGTGTATGTGTGTAAGTCAGAGAACAATTTGTGGAAGTCCATTCATCCCTTCTCTCTTATGGATCCCAGGGATCTAACTCAGATTGTTAGGCTTGCCCTGGTTTCTGCTGAGACATCTTACCCACTGAAAACAACTACTTTTAAAAGATCTAGAAGGATGTACTCCAGATTGGCAACTGTTATCTCTGGATGGGTTTTAGGGGCATCAGTGGAAGAGAGGCTTAGTCAAAAGGGAACTGTAAGTTCATCTCTGAAAAACACAATAGTGATTAAAGAGAGATCTGGGGAGAGGCAGGAAATCGAGAATAAAAAAAATGTCCCTTGTAATCATTACAATAACGGAAAACAAAGGTTTGAAAATTTTGTATCAAGAGTGCATCTAGTAAGAGAAAGAAAATGAAAATGATTTCAGTTACATTACCTCATTTTCCTGGACCATCATTCTAGATCGTTCCTATGGAATGCAACTACTTAGATCTCATTATA